AGCGCCGCCTCGCCCCGCCCCCCGCCAATCAGCGCAGCACCGCCCCACCTGCCATCTATCAGCACCGCCCTAAACTCCCCCGACCAGCCCTCGTGCGCCACTAAAAAGCCGCGCCTCCCGAGTGCACCATCCTGGTGAGGGGCAGGCCTCGGGACCATGTTTATGAGTGGCACGCTCCGGGGCGTCCCCTCCCTTAGCGGGCACGCACTCCTTTTGTCACCATCCTCCCAAGGACCCCGCAGCACGTCCCAAAATAGCCGGTCCCGGTCAGCAGCCCTCAGTCTCTGCTCCAAACAGGGATAGGATGACAGAGCTGCGGACACCTGAGACACCTCTAAACAGCTGCTGCTGTTTAGAGAATGGATTCGAGGGCCACCAGGGGATGGTGGGGCAGTAATCCTTCTTTTCTGTGAGTGAGGAGGATACCTATTTGTCGTCCTGAAGTTTTCAGAGCTTTCTCCCATCTATTAGCTTCTTGGCCCCACCTGCTAGCATGAGAAAGTTGCATGGTGAAATCCTTTTGACAGCTGAGACCCAGAACCCGGGAGGAGGAAGCTGCAAACAACCCACTGCGGATAATCAGCCTGATAAAAGGCAGTCCTTCACATGACTGTTGGAGTTTTCGTACCTCCTTCCCCTCTCCCTCTTCCCAGCGTTGGGAGAAAATATTTATGAGAAATTGTTTGATTTCGAAATAAGCAAGTGATGTTTTGGGAAGAGTCTGTCACTGGCTGGACTTCTGCTCTTCACACACTGCTGGAGTGTCCCGACCCTGGCCCCGTGGGAGATAGAGAATTTCTTCCCTCTCTTGGGTTCCTTATTTTTAGTCATTGAAACTTTCTCTATACATATGCATGCATATAGTTTAATAACTGCATAAACATAATCAAGAGACTGGACGCAGTGGCTCACATCTGTAATGCCAGCACTTTGGGAGTCCACAGTGGGCAGATCATGAGGTGACGAGTTCGAGACCAGCCTGGCCAAGATGGTGAAACACCATGTCGACTAAAAATACAAAAATTAGCCGGGTGTAGTAGCAGGTGCCTGTAATCCCAGCTACTGGGGAGGTTGAGGCAGGAGAATTGCTTGAACCTGGGAAGCGGAGGATGCAGTGAGCTGAGATCACACCACTGCACTCCAGCCTGGGTGACAGAGCAAGACTTTGTCTTGGAAAAAAATAAATCATGAGGCTTTAAATATTTTTATTTTGCTTACTCCCTTCCCCCTCCCCCCATACACACACAAACAGTTCCTCCTCTGGCAATCCTGTTGACAACTAAGTATATGTCCCACAGTTTTCTATGCTCATGAAACCAGACACACCTAGACATCTATAGGGTCTTGCCAATGCAGGTGACAATGTTTTTTGCATCTTAGCTTTTCAAAAATTTTTATTTTTAGAGACAGGGTCCTAATCTATAACTCAAGCTGGAGTGCAGTGGTACAATCATAGCTCACTGCAGCCTTAAACTCCTGCCCTCGAGCAGTCCTCTCACCTGGGCCTACCAAAGTGCTGGGGTCACGGGCATGAGTCACCATGCCTGGCTGCAACTTAACTTTCTTACTCAATGACAAGCTTATTATTTTCTAAGACATTTACTTAACATTTTTTTTTTTCAGATGGAGACAACACTTATTAATATTATTTTTTTAGATGGAGTCTTGCTCTGTCACCCAGGCTGGAGTGCAGTGGCGCCATCTTGGCTCACTGCAACCTCCGCCTCCCAGGTTCAAGCAATTCTCCTGCCTCAACCTCCCAAGTAGCTGGGACTACAGGTGCATGCCATCACACCCAGCTAATTTTTGTATTTTTAGTAGAGATGGAATTTCGCCATGTTGGCCCGGCTGGTCTTGAACTCCTGACCTCAGGTGATCCACCCGCCTCGGCCTCCCAAAGTGCTGGGATTACAGGCT